GTCATCAGGTGTGTTGTCCATCCAGGTGTTATGGAGTCATCCAGGTGTGTTGAGGGTCATCCAGGTGTGTTGTGAGGTCATCCAGGTGTTATGGGGTCATCCAGGTGTGTTGTGAGGTCATCCAGGTGTGTTGAGGTCATCCAGGTGTGTTATGAAGTCATCCAGGTGTGTTGAGGTCATCCAGGTGTGTTGTGAGGTCATACAGGTCAACCTGGCCCTTCACACACACGGAAGCTTGAAGAGGTAAAAGATTGTGCTTTAATATTTCCCCCTCAAAAAAAAATCCCCTAAAACTATTCTTGCGTAAAATAAATAAAAACTAATAAATTGTTTTCTCATGTTTAAAGACTAACACGAATAAATAAATAAATTAAATATCGCCCAGTAAAAAAAAAATGTTGAAATTTGGCGGGAAAAAAGATAAACAGAAGTGTCAGTCGGTGAAAATAATCAGTGGCTGGTGACTCGGGTGGAGGCGGTCGATGGCGGGCGTTTAACTTCTCCTGCCTGGCTGTCATATTTGAGCGCAAGTCAGGCATGCACCCGAGCGAACACTTCTGCACCTGGGAGAATGAGACAGCTGGGCCAGAGGCAGACCTGCAGATCGGGTCGGGTGTGTCGATTTGTGTACGACGAATTGAGAAAACTTGGCGTGATTTATGCAACGTCCACCATCCTTTTTTTTTTTATCCCCACGAGTCAGCTGTTCATTATTATCATCCACATTCTTGTTCATCTTTTGTTTACTCTGTTCTTCGTGTAACTCTTTCATTCCTTATCTCCTCCTCTTTGTTTTTATACAATTTATTATGATTTAATATATTTCGATGGTTGAATGTGATGCTTAGAGAGAAACGCACAATATAAATAATATTTGATCATACAATTATTGGAAGATTTATCCCGATACTTCTGGGACAACTGTAAATAATATATCATTGATGTCATTTATCATTATCAGGTTATTGTGTTTAGTGGCTTGGCCGGTTGGTCTGTTCTCTGTACAGTTTATCATATCTCAACATAAAACATATATCTAGAAGTGTAAGTAATAAGAGTGAGGAGGTCTTATTGCAACTATATCTTGCGCTAGTCAGGCCGCACCTTGATTATGCGGTTCAGTTCTGGTGCCCCTATTATAGAATGGATATCAATTCACTAGAGTCGGTGCAGCGAAGAATGACGAAAATGATTCCGGGACTTAGAAACCTTCCATATCAGGATAGGTTAAAGAAACTTAACTTGCATTCCCTAGAAAGACGAAGAGTGCGGGGAGATATGATAGAAGTATTTAAGTGGGTGAAAGGAATCAATAAAGGGGATATAGATAAAGTTCTTATAATATCCGAGCAGGATAGGACTCGGAGCAACGGATTCAAGTTGGATAAGTTTAGGTTTAGGAGGGAGATAGGAAGAAACTGGTTCACAAATAGGGTGGTGGACGAGTGGAACAAGCTTAGCAACATTGTAGTAAGTGCTGGAAAGCTGGAAAGTTTTAAAAGGAGGCTGGATAGATTCATGGATTATAGAGAGTGGTAGTAACTCTCGACAGGAGCTGCCATGCACAGACCAACTGGCCTATTGCAGACTCCTTATTTTATTATGTTATGTTCTTTTAAAAAAATAATTAACCTAACCTGACCTAACCTAACCTGACCACATAAAGAATAATTAACTTAAATGAACCTAACCTAACCCGAAGAACCTAACCTGACCTAACCTGACCTAACCTGACCTAACCTAGCCTAGCCTAACCTAACCTAACCTAACCTAACCTAACCTAACCATCTTTCACCTTCTTCACCAGGTGTACTCAGGGACTCAAACTGACTTAAAACTGACTCTTTACATCACAAGGTAAAACTGAGACACCGTGTGAAGGGTTGTGGCCGAGCCTGGTATTTTAATGAACCATTTTGCCGTCAACACAGACATGCACAAACTAATGTGGCCTTAATTTCCTGCAGACACTCACGACACACACACACACACACACACACACACACACACACACACACCAATGAAAAAACTGTTCATGATTTTGTAATTTCGGCTGTTGATGGATATTGAACCAACCTACATGACACAAGAACCTAACATAACCTAACCTAACCTAACCTAACCTAACCTAACCTAACCTAACCTAACCCTCACATAACCTGATCATCTCCTAGCGGACAAAAACCTTCCTTGTCCTTCGAAAAATTATAGACGAAAGTTTAATGATTTACAACGCTAATTTACCTTCCAGCAATTAGCCCCTTGAGTACGATGACTTAACCACCTTGAGTACGATGAATTAGCCCCTTGAGTACGATGACTTAACCCCTTGAGGACGATGAGTTAACCCCTTGAGTACGATGAATTAGCCCCTTGAGTACGATGACTTAAC